CAAAGTAATTCCAGTATAGATGCATGCCTCGACTATTTTTCCATCCTCACCTGCTGCTTGGTCCCAGCCTTGACCCCTGGTTTCGCTCCATCCTGGCACACGGCTCCACACACAGCGGTGCAGAAGGCGGCCCGCTCCCTAACCTCCAGCATCCAGCAGCAGATGGGCTGTGGCTTTGTCCGTCTTTTTATTAGCTCCCCTAAATCAACACCTAACAATACACGGCCGCATGGAGGAGGAATTGATTTCTCGCATCAAGCAGTCGCCCGAGGTGGGTAGAGAGCCAGGCCGCGGGTGAAAGGGTGCATGGAAGGGTTAACAGGGTCCGTGAAGAATATATTAAAAGTAACTACAGTGAAGGATCTATATATATATATATATATATATATATATATATATATATATATATATATCTATGAACCAGTCGCATGTGAAGATAGCGAGCGTCTCCGGATCAAGCGATGTCATAGCTCAGATCATATTTCTGTCATAAGCTTCTTACTGGTAAATCCGTGGCTTAAAGCTACTCACTGCTGTATTGTACCTGAGCTGTCTTACTATTTTTGTTGTTTTGTTTGTGTCAGAGAAAGACATGGGTTCTTGAAATATTAGTTGAGACAGTACAGACATTCCCTACATGGCTTTTTCATCCATCGCCTCCTCATTACACACTGGGCGACTCAAGCAGCTGTGTCAGAACAACTCGCCTGACTGACCTATAGTCTTTTTGCCGAGGCGTGTTCAGTGTGAAAACTATGGTCAGATATAGCAGCCATTTTTTATAGAAAATGCTAACCCGTTGCTTGTGGGTCAGATTATATGGGCGGCACAATGGCACAGTGATTAGCACTCTCGCTTCACAACAAGAAGGTCCTTGGTTCAAAAACAGTCTTTCTGAGTGGAATTTATTTGTTCTCCTCGTGTTTGTAAAGGTTTCCTCCTGGTGCTCCGGCTAACCCTACCACTGAAAACATGTACAATTGGTAAAAGTGTCCTCTGCTCTATGCTCTATATAGTTGTCCCAGTAATAAATATGTTTGAAAATGTTAATATGGTTCTGGGTGGATGAAAATCACGCCCTTTATAATGCACTTCCCAGAGGTTCTGGGAGACTTATTTTGGAAGTAGAAGTTGTGATTATTTCTTTTTGACACATTCCTGTCTGCCTGCAGAGCAGACACGTTTTAAAATAACATGCCTCACTGAAATACATGACCAATGAAGGAGCAGAAAACAATCTTAAAATGTTTTGGAACCTAGCCGCTCTGTGAGTCACCTTTATTTGTTTAATCCGTAGAATCCTAACCCATTATCCTTAGCTCCCATCATTATCCAACTTCAAAAAGCAAAAATGGGGCTGACCAACTTGTTCATAACCGCCACAGATTCATTAGTCATCAACAAAACGCCCAATATGAAATAAAGTGTTTTCCATATAGCCCAAATGACTTTTACAGGCGCATTTCTGATAAGTCGCTATCATTTTCCTCCCAGTGGTTTTTTTGCGAGTGTTTGTGCGCCGAGGTCATCTATAAGTCCTCGTATTGAGCTGCTTTCAAAGGGAGGAGATTTAGAGCCCAGGAGCCCTGCCTCTGCGGCTCCACCGGGCGCCGTATTAAGTGGCACTGCATTAGGCTGTTTTTTTCCCTTCGCTCCTCAGTCTCCATGATCACCTTCGAGCTTCCACGCAGCAAAGCTCTCATAAACATTTACGTACAGGCTATCAGCTCCAGTCTCAAGCCACGACTCTGCCGGCCTGGACCACGGCGGGCCCTTAATGCCTCTTATGAGACCTTCGCGCCTGGTTGTTTGTGTGCGAGTGTCAAAACAAACCAATGTGTGGTCAAAATCACTCAAAATGCTTATATATTTGGAGAAAATGTTACTTCTCAGTTTTTAAAGATCTATTTTAGAGAGTAATAGTACCTTGTCTGTTTGTGATTGTGTTTATATAATATGTGTCTCTTTTTCTTATCAGTTAGAGCTGGGTTATCTAAATTTACTTTGCATAAATAACACATGTTGTATGGCCCAACTGAAAGAGTCTCATAAAAGTGTTGTGGATAAAACAGACCACAACATACCAACCATATTATAACTTTCATACTTGTAAGAGCGTTTTGAGTCACTATCTGAGGCTTTGGGTGAGAGCTGATTGGTTAGTTGAGGGTGGTCCTCAGGGTGGGACTAGTACATAGATTTCATTGCATTTTATTTTTTGTGGTTTGAAATAGTGCTGTCCAAAATATCGCGTTATTAACGCGTTAACGCAAATCAATATTAACGGCGTCATTTTTTTTATCGCGCGATTATTATTATTTTTTTATTTTTTATTTTTTTACTTTTTATTGCAGAAAAACACATATACAGAAAAAAAATAGAAACAAAGAAAAGGACTAGTTCAGATACATTGTAGACAGAGATTACAAACAATATGTAGTTGGAGATACATGAGGCCAAAGAAGAAACCCAGAAGGGCACATAGGAGAAGTGTTGTGCGTGAACGAGTTCAAAAGAACGCGTTCATTGAACACGCTCATTTTTTCGTGAACATTGAACTGAACGCAACACATTTTTTAAAAAAAGAACTTGAACGTGAATTAGTTCATTTTATGTGTCATGAACGGCAGACATCACTATGAACGTTGGAATCTGTTTTCTCTTTTAAAACGCAACGAGAGAAAGTTCCTCCCTCCTGTATTCTCGCACTTTTTCCGCCGAAATCTAAAAATTCCTACGGTTTCCACCGTCTGTGAACGCACCCCGACTCTGTGTTGCGGTGCAGCGCTGTGAGCTGGTGCTTTTCACATGTGCCCGAGTCGTGATGAAAACACAGGGTGAGTTAGCAACAAAGTTTACACCGTTTACATTTCCTCTCCTCCTGTGGGTGTACAGGAGATATAATATATATATATATATATATAGCTCGTAGTGTGAAAAAAATATGTATTTATCTCACGAAAAAAGTAAAATGAACTGAACTTTGAACTAGTTCAGAAAAGTTGTGAACTGGCTCAACACTGGACATGAAGTGGGAGATGGGGGGGAGGGGTTAATAAAAAAGGCAATACAAGCAAACAGTATACAGTCATAGATATACCGAAGGTAAACAGAGAAACAGCATAGAGTATTTACATGAACAAATTTACAAAATATTTACAGATTGTTTATCATCATCATAATGACACCATGATGTTTCTATACAGTCTATGGTCTATACCCACACATACACACACACACCCACACAAATATGTGACTAATTTGCGATTAATCGCGAGTTAACTATGAAATTCATGCGATTAATCACGATTAAATATTTTAATCGTTGGACAGCACTAGTTTGAAATTTAGGTACCATGGCTTTAACATGTTTTTTTCTTTTCACTTTTACTCAAATCATTTCCTGAGCCACTGCTTTCTGTTTCTACTCCAGTAATGTTATTTTGAAGTTTTGGAGCTTTCTCCTTGAACAACTTTAGCCACTCTTCACCTCTGCCTGGTTGTCTCTTGTCTTCTTAATATAAAATCTTGAATATATCTCAAGTTTGTTATGATATGCAAATTACCTGGGCGTTAGAGCATCCTCAGCCGTTGTTTTGTTTTGTCATGACAACAAACACAGTGGGATAACCCAGAGAGCCTGCTTAGACAGAGAGAGAAAGGACAAAACACCACTGGACATCTTTAAAGCTGAAATATGCCAGCCTCTGCTGCATACATTATCGCCTGAAACTTAAAAAAAACCAGAAACATAAATAAAGATGTGTTTACATTTTGGACGTTGGAGAATTCTTTTATTTGTTCGCCTTTGAATGTGTCTCTTTTGTCCGAGCTGCCTCCTTCTTCGAAATGATCAATGGTTTCCCCTCATGTGGCGTCTAAACCAACATCGACAAAACAAAATAAAGGAGAGGGATGTGTTCAGGAGTAGACAAGAAGCCCACACCAAACAAGAAATGCCTCCTGTTAATCCCGAATCTGGTTCAAATAGGGATTATGGATTTAGTTTCTGCTTCAAATAGTACAACATGTAGATCACTTGAGTTTTTGAACCAAGGAGCAAATCATCTTTCATTCTTGTCTTCTAATTATTTGATGTGACATACGTTATCTGCATCAAATGGGTCCTAAGTTTTAGATGGAAAGTGTCGCATTGATGAGATAGACACAGGGCTTTCTTTTACAGAAACGTGAATAGACAAGTTTTCCGGATACGGATTTTTCTGTCACAGAGTCATGACACCACTTTTAACAAAATGAAAATGACACCTGCTAGAATAAACATGTTATTATTATTGAAGTGTGTTACTTCCGTAAATACACCATGGTAAGCTCAAGGCTAGTTTTCATTTGTAGTGCCATTGCTAATTTCTTTAGCCTGATGTATCAAATGGTTTCATTTCATTTTGTGGAAACCGTCTGAAATCTTTCCTTTTTGATTCAACCAATCACTGCTGTCTGGTCATTACATAATAGGAAGCAGAGCAAAAAAATCTTTCAAAGTCTCCAAACTTCCACTTTGCTTTAAATATTAATTTTCCCGGATCTTTTCTAATACAGAATGTATGGCTAATTTACTAACTGCAAACAGACTCCGATTGTACTTCCTGGGTTTCGGAGCTGCCTGTGATTCTTTGATACCTGACCTAGTAACAGGTGTGAAATTAAACTAAGCGTAGGCTCTAGGTGGTGCTGGCCTGGGTACATGTTTATGCAGACATGAGGAGAACATGCACTCAGAATGGCACTGTGCCACCTAGGAGTTAAACCCAAGACCTTGTTGTGAGGCAAGAGCTCTAAACTTTGTTGACAACATCTGTCTTTGTTAACTAGAACTAGTGAAAATAGAATACATATTTATATTGTAATTAGAAGATGGATGGTTCTAATGTTTTTGCTACAATCTTCAGAATCTGTATCTCACTTAACAAAATGATTGCGAGTAGAAAAACGAGCCAGTCCCACATACTTCATCCTTCTGCCTTTTGTGTCTGTTGCAGGAGCCCAGCTACACATCGCTCTTGTTGGATCAGCTGCAGACGCCGCGGGGCCATGAGGCTGGTCTGGGCCGCTGTCAGGTGTGCTCCACTCCTCTGCTGCAGCTGAGACAGGAGGCCCTTCACGCCCTCTCCCTCACCTCCGCCCCGTCCTTCCTCCCACAGCCAGCCCGCATCACAGTGTCTACCTCCAAGCAGATGTCCAGGAGCCAGCCGAGCAGCAGCAGCAGCAGCCCCTCCTCGCTAATGGCCCTAGGAGAGAGGCACAGGGTCCAGGGTGCAGGCTCTAAGGGCAGTGTCCAGGTCACTGTGGCAGGGACGCAGCTCACCGGATCCCTGGGCTCGGTGACCATCCAGACGCAGCAGTACCTCGAAGGCATGTGGAGCATTTCCAGGGTCAACAACTTCCTGCCTCAGCCCAAGCCGGTATGCAAATGTTCATCTTGAATTGTGGGTTGCTGCTTTTTATTTTTACAGTGAAATGGGGATAAATGACAGTCAAATTTAAAAGTATTGCAAAACATAAAGTGAAAGCAGTACGATGGCTGGTGGGTATATACTGGGTTCACGGCAAGAGGGTCGTGGATTTCCTCTGGGCACTCCGGGTCTCCCCCAAGCCCCGGGGATCCAAGATGGCGCCCTATTCAAATTAATGGTTGTGCTCAGTGGCGCTTTGTGACGGCATGGGGGCTGAAAAGTTTAGCGGAAGTCGCCTGGAACTCGCAAAGATCTATGGGAAACTCGCAAAGATCTATGGGAAACTCGCCTGTATTTGGGCATCGTCTGGTCCTCCCGGTTCTGCGCAGTGGATGATCTCCCATAATGCGTTGCGCCAAACACGCCTGTGTGGGTCTCACACCGGGTCTCACGCACGTGCACAGAGGGGCTCGGCTGCGCTCTGACCAATCAGAGCGGGAGTTAGAGCGAGAGCCAGACGAGCAGAGTTTGTGGCACTAAAGTGTGAATTTAAAGAAAACCGAAGGATTTAAGAAGAAAAAAAGGGGACACTGAAATCCCCACAAAATCCGACCTTTATGAAAGCTGTAGGTTCTCTGTCAGCTGAGGTCGCACTGTTTTCTATGGGGAAAATGTCTGTGTAGCCCACGTGAATTTAGTCTGGTCTAGTCTACAGTACCGCGAGAATCCCCCGAACACATGGGTTATTCAGCTCCAAGCTAGTAATACCCTATCCAGTTATTATAATAGATCCATGGTCTCCCCCCACCCAAAAATGCACTACAAGTAAAATCCTACAGCTTTGACAGTCCTGACCAAGAGAATCGACAATTGGAGAAGAGTCCCTGGGCACTGCACTTCTGACAGATTGCCCTAGTGGTATTACAGGACAGGTCAAATGCTGACATAATTTCCCTCCATGTACGCCGATTTAGGTTTGTGGGTTGACTTTCCCACATGGTGTAACCACAACTTGACTGGTCCAATGCAACCATGTAACCACACACACACAAAGCAGATGCCAGATTAGGTTATTAGGATAAGAAAACCAAGATGATATTAGACCTGTGTATTCAGCGATGATAAATTACAATTCCATATTTTTTCCTTTGATCCACGAAGTTAAAGTGAAAGGTAAAACTGTTGTCATCACTGTGTATATTTACGCTACAGAGAGTGAGTATCGTGTGAGCTGTAAAGCGATTTTGAACATACAGACCAAGACTTTATGGGAAAAGATTAATTGATTTGACAGTCTGTTATATTTAGTACCATTAAGACAGAGATAGTGGCTTTACATAGACACCACAAGAATGCCATCTTCTGCCCCATCTGAGGAAGACCCAATATGAATGCAATGTATTCCAGTGACAATATAATGTGACGCAACTATGTACAAAACAGAGTTAGCAATTTAACAACAAGAGGGGCATCCAGATGATTGGTTGCTGTGATGATTTTAGGTGCTTACACTAACACATTAACTAAGAGATAGAATACCGTCACAGCCAAAAAACGATTAATAATTCAAGTATAAAAGAGTGACTGTCCACTGGTCCACTTCAGAGCTCGCCTGGTCTCGTCTCCTTCCAACCCAGAGCTATTAGACTCTACAACGCCAACCTTGGGGTATCAGAGGGGGTCACTGAAGGATATGAAATTTAATGAATAATATTTTTATTGTCATCTTCTCTATCTTATGTTGAGGAATGACCTGATGACTCATTTTTACTAAAGAGCAACTGATTTTCCCTTGGGATTGATAAAGTATTTCTATCTATCCACCGCGGTTCCAGCACATCTCCATAACGAAGCGGCCGTCTGACCTCTCATTCCCCTGTGGTCAAGGAGCCGGAGTCATGTGAGGGCAAAGATCATGGCAACACTAATCTGCTGACCTCTTCCCCAAGGCAAGGCCAAGTGACCACCCCACCGAGCAGCCATAACTCTGCTCCATGTTGGATAAGCATTCACTTTTGAAGTTTAAGAGGTGTGGGGGGACAGGAGGGGTAATGATTAGTGGCGCTCTACCGCAATGAGAGCTGACACACTTAAGTTTAAGTAGCCATTTGAACTGTTTCAAGTTACTCGTGTGATGGCCTTGTTGATGCGCACAAGTGGTGTTGCGCTAAGTGAAACAGCTGGTGTGAGTGCTAACGCTAGGAGGAGGTCAGTAATTTCTTGAGTGATGCTTCAAGGATATGCTCATTCGAAATTACTGAGCTTTATCTTAATGTAGATTTCAGTTTTTCAACCTATTTATGTGTTTGGACTTATCTTTACAACTTTTTATGCTCTCAAACATCAGGGGGTTCTGTTGGATTGCCAAAATATAATCTAATTTTCATTGACATACACTGAAAATCATATCTAAATCCACTGTAAAAACTTAAAGCTAAGGTTCCTTACTTACTTACTTACTTTTTTTTTCATATACTGTGGTCCCTCTCTATATTGTAGTTCACCTTTTGCGGCCTCGCTGTTTTTCAGATTATTTGTGTGTGCAATTTTGCGTACCCGTTTTTACAGTGTGCTTCTCATGCGCAGCGTGTATACTCCAACAACGTCATATAACCGCTAGTCTAACATGACGGTTACATTTATTTACAGTCAGAAAAAATCTTCCGCAGTGATTAGTTCAGTCTTCCCGAAGCCTTCAGTCCTTCTCCTGCCCCTCAGACCGGTCACTATTTGACACTTTCGTCTGAGACAGAGCTGATTGGCTGAGTGAGGGTGGTCGTCTCTTTTTCAAAAATAAATAATCTGAAAATACATCGATTTGTTTTAGAGCCAGGAACTCGTGACATGGATTTTATTTATGTACGGTTTGAAAGTTGGGCACCCTGGCTTTAACACAACATAAAATATGCTGTAGCTTACAATTTTAACCGTTTTCACATTAAAAAACGTGTAAAAGTGATTAAAAGCAAAGGCATAACAAAATGAACAAAATCGTATTTATTATTTTAAGTATTATTTTAACTTGATGTAGATAATCAGAAGAGATGTAATATACTAAGCATCAGAAGATTTCCCTGCTACTACCTCCAACACTGTATTATTCTGGCATAGTTATACAAATCTTTGTTCTTTTCCTTATAGTGAAACACTCAAGACAAATTCCTGGTTCTCCTTTTAACGTCAACAAGTGCTTTATGGATGGCAGCAGTGGATCAGACATGCTTTATGGGTGCCCATCAAAAGCTTTTAACTGCATACTGTATAAGCAATCCCGGGCAAATCAAACAGGCTGGCGCAGGAGGGCAGCGCTGGCTGATGTCTAAAAGCAATTAGTCGCAGGAATGAGATGCCCGATGCCACAAAGCTCAGAGTATTGGGCCCCGGCACGCAGTTTGAAACAAGCCTCCAGGACATAGAGTTACAAACAGCACAGTCTCTCATGTCTGCTGCATGTTTGCTTCATTAAAGCCAGGCCTTGAGAATGACTAAAACCCACATCAGATTGGGAGGACTGGGAGTGAGGCTGCTGTGCCCAAAGCAAAAAGCTTTAATTCATCACTTTGAGTTGGGAAAAGCATGCAGGGCTGTTCAGACAAAGAGGCAGAGATGGAGTGAGTGTAGAATCGTTCAGAGTGTGTCAGACTGCAGGAGAAAGCCGCAGGCGCTCACACTCTCTGTCCAGTATAGGGCACCTTGATTTGGTCTTTAGGGAATAGGCTGGTTAACATGGAGAATGATGGCGCTGGTCACTGAACTGAAGTGATCTACATTCCTTCTACATTTCTCGCTCCTGCAAATTCTGGATTTCTGCTCCTGACTGTACATATTGTATCACTAAGCCAGTGCTATTTCCAAGTTGCTCCAATATGTCCATATGTCTGTTCAAGCATCAGTGAATTCTTATCAAGTACACATGGTACAGAAATAGCGGATTATCAGCTGTGTGCTCTACTGTGCATTAGAGCCCTGCACTTGAGCCCTTGGCCCGAGGGCCCCGACGGCCCGACAGCCCGAGGGCCGGGCTTCGGGCCGATGACCGCATAATGACCTCGGACATGGGCCGGGCTCGGGCTCTTCATTTTCAGAGTGGCAGAATACATTTACGAACGCACCCACTGAATATAGCGTTCTATCACGCAGTAGTGTTTGTTGTTCTGTGTAGTGTTGTCATTGACGGCACATAGCGTTACTTACAGGTGTGTTGTAGCATCTGGGCATCATACAGATGCGGCCGTTCACTCTGCACCACTCCGCACACACAGAACTCATTGCAACACATCACTACCATGTATAACTCCGCCCTCTAGCTAAGTCTGCGTTCATATCAGTGCGCGGCACTATATACTACGCTAAAACATTGTTATGGGAGGTTACAAAAAAAATAAATAATTGTCGGGCTTGATGCCTTTTTCGGGCCTGAAAATTCAGAAACCATATCGGGCCGGGCCGGGCTGGGGCGCCACCCCCTCGGGCCAGGGCCGGGCTCGGGCCCAGATAATAGGCCCGTGCAGGGCTCTACTGTGCATGCTGTTTGCCAGAAGTAAACACGTACAGCATATATATATATAGTTATATACTGTAAACATGAATCAAGAGAATTATTTGGAATTGGGTTTTAGGTTCCAAATCAGGTGAAATCTTAGCATCACATCAATATTTCAGAGCCTCTTTTTCAGCGGAGTCCCGGTCCCAGAGAGCTATAGTACATGTTTTTAGTGATAGGGGAAACTGGAGCATCTGGAGGAAACCTAGGCAGATACGAGGAGAACATGCAAACTCCTCACAGAAAGTCCCTGTCTGGAGGTGGAATCAAACCCTGGACCTTCTCGCTTTGAAGCACTTCAAAGCGAGAAGGTCCAGGGTTTCACTAACCTGTGTGCCACCGTGCAGATTCACATTATTTGCGTTCATTACTTTTTGGAGTCAAATGAACACGAACAATTACGAACTAAATGGTCATTTTATTTTCTCTGTCCTCCATCCCAAGAAGCAGCTGCCAATCCACAAAGAACTAGGGCTATTCTTGACCTTTGCTTTCTTCCGCTCATTCCCAATTCTTCGATTACGGCTCCCGCTTGCTTTACCGCAACCAATTTGAAACCTGGCAAAAGATCTTGGCCACTCTCCCTTTGGTGCAGCTGGTTTTGAATGGCATCAAACCAACTTTCGCCATGAAGAAAAGCTTTGGGCATCTATCCATCCTTCTCCATCTCTAGTTATTACACCCTTTTTGTTAATTAAACGCCATTGAGATAGAAACTCAGCACATATGCTTTCTCAGTGACTCCCCACTCTTTGTTGGTTGCAGAGGGCAGGAGAAAAGACGGCCCAGATTAACAGCTTCTCCTCTGCAATAATTGTCTGGTTGCCGTGAGGAGCATAGGTCAAAGAAAGTCTTACTAGACCAGTGTCCACGCGAGAGATAGTTCGTCTGATAAGAAGCTGGCCTTTGCTGCTCACTTTCAGACTTCATAACAGCACTCTACACACTTTTGTCGCACCACACACACACACACACACACACTTTTTCATTTATCTTCCTGTCCATCCGTCGCTTCTCTCCAGTGGGGCTACCGAAGCTGAGGGATCGGAGAGCGCTTGGGGGCTTAAAGGTTGGAAGGCCAGCTCATTAGTGACTTTGAGCCCAAACAGACAGCTCTTCTAATTACCTGACCGGGGGATAGACCCAAGAGACATATCCGCTGTGGGTCCAAGAATACCAGAAGAGAGGCTTATCGGAGTCTTAGCTGAATCTTTCGTTTTAGGTTCACAGGGGGATAGCTCTTGATAGCTCTTGATAGTTGGACCATAGCTGTGCACTCGTGTTTGGGTGCTTTCAGGCCAGCTACTGAACTAAAGTGCAGCTGTGGGGATTCAAACTGGCACAGCGCTGGCTCAGTCTGGGCTCTGTTGGAGGTTGGACAGCAAGGCTTCCTGTACGGGTGTCACTGAAGTGCTCTGAAATGTGGTGCCAGAACGGTACGAGTCAAGGCCACCTCGGTGAGCAGCAGCCCCAAGACCAGACAGCAGCAAAGCGGAGAGAAAAACTGCATAGAGTTAACTGTGTACATTTATTATTAATTCTTCATATGGTTTTCAGAATTCCGCCAGATATTGTGTTGTCTAAATACACTGTATAAAAAAAACTAGAAAAACAAAAGCTCTCATTCATTCAGGAGTGTTCAACGAGTGCAAAAGGTTCCCATCTTGATCATCTTTGATTAACAGATTACAATAGATATAATATAGATTTATTGGATATACTTGTGATAAATTATATATATATATATTACAAATGTATTGATTACACTAATAACCTCACTACCTCACTGTCCATCAGCATGTTTATCTAGACAGTTAATTTCTGAAATTTCCCCACTGTGGAACGAATAAAGGATCTCTTAATCTTAAGCTCAAATGAAAGACCAACAAAAGTGAAAACCTGTTCTAAAGGTAATGGAAAAGATGTGAAAGACCGAGGGCTGATTAAAAACTAGGTGAAACGGGAGCAGAGGAGTATGTGCTAACATAGATATAATTGTCTCATTATTTATATAATTCAAAATAATATTGTTTTTCAAAAATGTATACATTTTGTTATCTGTTATAGTATTTCAATGTTTCGATTTTTTGGCAAATGGTACATTTGAAGTATGACATATGAATATGAAGTATGAGAAGACTTCTACAAACCATATTTAATACCAATAAGATGAGAATTAGAGGCCAAAACCCATTTTTAAATGTTTTTTTACTCAAATCACTTGGAGATATATCATATTGAATTATTATGGCCTATGTCTACTCTAAAAGACCTTACCCTGCCCTCGTCATAACGTTTAGTCAACAAACATATGAATGCATTCCTGGAACCAAAACCATCTTTGTCAAAAGGCAAAAGATATATAAAAAATGAGTTCATTAACAGCAGACATGTTCGTAGTTGTTCAGTCTTTAATTTCCTCGGCCCAGCATGATGCCTTACTCAGCTTGATGACAACTTGGATGAAAGAAGTAAAGTGTGATAACAAGCTGCAAAAATAAACCAGAGCATGTTGTATTATCCTAAGATTTATGAGAAAAATAGTCTGAGCGATTCTTCTCAGTTATCACAAACGTGTCTGTCTGTGAAACCCTGTGCTCTGGTCTGGTTTGAATGCAAGTAAAGCCCCTATTTTGTGATGGATAGTGTTCCCCTGTCAGCCTTATAAATAGTCTGGCTGACACCCGCACATGACAAATGTATACAGTGGAAAAGCTTTTATAAAGAACTTTGTTATTTTAGTCGTCAAATATGAATTTAGAGCAAACACAGGCGGTAAATATAGAGAAGGTTTTACGGAATTGACTTTCGAGCATAATACATGTCATGTTTATTACACAATCACATCAGCGTCATCGTTCTTAATGCTCCTGTCTTTATTTACTCAATTTCTACTCACCAAACCAGTTCTCATCAGTGCCTATTGATCACTGTCCTGCAAGATAACGCTGGCTTCTTAGCACAGGATTACCCTTTTGTCCATTTGGAAAAGTGTAGTCTACAGGCTGTATAATTAGGCCTCCACAGCTCTTGTGTTGCTCTATTAGCAGCCAGTGAAGCGAACAGTGTCTAGCCGGCCAGATCATTACTCCGGCTGTAAGAAAGTTGGAACTATTGTGTTGGTTACTAAACACTGTGAGTTTTGACAAATAGGTTGGTGTTGAGGTGATATTTTCGGAGCGTCTTTGGCAGGAGCTGCTCTAGCCGTGGGCTGAGTTTGTGAATACGCCGCCTTCCAGAGAAGGGTGTGCCATTAGAGACACAAGGCTGACACCTCGTAAACAGTTGAGCTATGGAACAAATCTCAGTGCTGGACTGTGTTTACAAGGGCTATGTCCCAATGAGAAAGAGCTTTACATGAAGTGTAAGTCATGCCATTTAAAGGGACAGTACATGTATGAATTTGGATTTTAAATTGCATCAACACAAGGTCAACATTAGCCTTTCCTGATCAAATTGGTAATACTGATTTATTCAATTAACAAGACCGCCGATGTTTTTATGTTATCATCTTATATTGTGATTCTGAAGATAATTGTATATTTGTGAAGTACAATTAGCATCACACGAGTATCACAATTTGGTTGCATGTTTTTCTGGTGAAATCCAGCTGGTCCCTGCAAGAGCATCTACGTGTGTGCTTTACATGCAGGGCAAGACGCTGGCAACAAAAAGTGTAAATTGTATTTGTATTAAGGTCATAAAAACAAAACTAGGAGTAAAAAACACATACTCTTTAAGTGTGTTCTAGACTGTCTGTCTTTTCTCGCCAGGAGTTTGTCACTTCTCAATGGAATGTTCCTCTTGAATATGCAGCATTAAACATATCTTTGTATTTTGTATCTTTGTATATCCATGTATTTAATATATTTATAATGAAATCCTATTAAAAACATACATTTTTACTTCACTAACTTACACTAACTTTGACTTAGATAGATGACTTAGAGAGATATTTAGATCGGGTTGACTGTGGGAAGACTTGCGATGCAGTTTTGTCCAAATCTGATTGATGTTGAGTTTTTTGATGATGTACTTTAGAGCTTTTTACAGCTGTGTACATGGACATCCAAATCTAATTCCCTTTGTGTTATCAATCTCAATCCTAATCTGCACTGAAGATATATTTTGGCGAAAACAGACTTCTTCGACCCGCTACATACATCTCTTTAGATAAGCCCTATGAGCAGATGTAAGCAAGAGTCGGTTCTGGTAAATGCTAGTAATTTCATTGCTAATTAAACATGGGTTATTGCCTAATTACTGTACGCCCTAGCCAGTGCAGCCTCCTTTCTCGCCGCTCTATGGGAGGCTCTCTGCTGTGAATCCTGCTGACTTTGTGCACTGGTGACTGGACACATCTGTCTGTCCATCTGTGGCCAGGGAGAGACAAGAGCGCAGCGAAATTAATTGGAAGCTACAAAACAACATCATCATATTTTCTTTCTTCTTCAGGTTTCTGGTTTGACAGCAGGAGCAGACGTTCAAGCCTCAGAGGGACAGACCGCTACGCTGACCACGGCCACGACCACGAGCACGGCCCTGACGCACTGTAGACTGAGGGGCCACACGGGGATCCCAGCACCCAGTGTCACCCCCTCTCATCCCCCGTCCTCCCCCGCCACATCTTTCTTCGTTAGGTAAGTTCCCCCCCCCCCCACACACACGCATGAGCACATACATTCAGCCCGTCAAAATTCGATCACAACAACAGATTGCAGTCAACATCTTGCGTGTACGGTTTGCATAGCTCCCAGAGCAGTCAATTTGACGGCTTTTGGTTTTGAAAGTGTAATTACTCAGCTCGTGTACACTGGTCTTCATAACTTTGTGTCTTTTTCTGTTTCTTTATGTAGTTTATGTCTATGTAGTTATTTAAAAAATATATATATATCATTAATTTACAAAATGTGACTCATTTTCCAACAGAATATAAATACAAAATAATCTATATAAAGTGATTGTTACCATAGCAACACACTGGCAGCAGTTAGCACTAGTCTTATTTGCAGTATTTCAGTTAAAAGTGAGTAAAAGTGAGTAAATCTCTTATAGAGGACTTACTTTTAATAAATCTGGTGAAACACTAAGTCTTTTTGTAGGAAAATTGCTCAGAATTCTATTGGTTTGAATGGGAGCTGTCCCAACCCCAAGAGTCTAGTAAATATAAAATGTTGTGACCACATCAGACCACAACATTCGTCTTCATCTTATATCCATCTGCATGTGACAGCCTGATACTGTCAGACCTCAGCAGTTAAGCAGGACAGGGCCTGGTTAGTACTGTGATGGGAGACCTCTGGGAACACTAGGTGCCTCAGTGGGGTGGCTGAGACACCTGGCACATCCGTAAATAAAGACATTTTGCCCCAAGTGAGCCAGAATTGCTCCAGTTAAAGTGAACATAATCAATAGGTTCAAGTTCAGGGTCAGGTTTACTTGCCTTGTATTAGCATTGTATCCCGTCCCCATTTAATACAGTACGCTTACTCTTGTATGTATACACAACAATATACTGTATGTTTTTGATCGACAAGTGTGAACACAACAACAACAGCGGTGCAACTTTACACGTACAACTCAGCATAGTTTCTTAAGAATATTGAGATTAATTCACTTATACTTAATTCGAGCTAAATAGACGATAAAATATGTCCTCTATAAACCAAACCAGAAGTGCATTTGTTCTAATGCTTTTCTGTCATAACGAGCTTCCATAATCGCTTCATGCATGTTTAAGTAATCCCAGGATAATTGTCTTCGAAGCTTGACTGCTCAAAAACCTCCTGTATCTTCGCACCCACACGCTCGCAATTCTTTGTCAGCACCCGCAATTGATGCAAATAATCTTGATACTAGCTAAAGACGTTTCTTGCCGACTTAGAAAAACCCACTATGATGACGTTTTTATTTTTATAGAGCTTACCTTGCAACCCTCATGTACGCACGGCTGTGACTGTGCTTGTCAGAATGAGATTAAGATGTTGTAGATTGCCGTGTTTACTATTTAGGCCCAGTGCATGAAAGAATCCTACAGGGAGATTCGCAGGGACTCGCCTCAGCACTCACGTGTTGGGTCACGGAGTTAAGTGCGATGGGGGGGTACCAATTCCAAGGAGGTGTTTTGCTCGTGACGTGGATGAATTGCTCCACACTGCTGGGATATATGCATCATCATCAGGCTAAATGAACTCAGACTCGTATTGTTCTAAGGAATTTCTTGTTTAGTCACTTTTTGATGACCGATTTCTGGCTATGTGGTAATAAGGCTTGTTAAAGCTGAGGGCGCTCACTTTAAAACCACACGCGACCTCAACTATGTATCTAACTTGCATGCATTTTTTGTCCTTGAATCAGCTTTTACAGACAGAAAAGTGAAAAAGGCAAGCCCAGTCTCACTCAGCCAATCAGCTCACAGGGCTCTAAGTATGAAAAATATGATATTTCCATTTTGTTATTTCATTTATTCATTAATACATTTGGCCAGGAATAGTTACATTCATACATTCATCATAATCTTGCCTACTGTACATATACTATGCACATATACATGCACAGATACATACAGTACCCAAGCAACATTTATCAGCATTCACCATTTTGGAATTTACAACTTATTTACTCTTTATCAGCTTGAAATGGAATGGGAAGGCATGTTTTCTAATAAGATGAAGACAGCATGATTTTATGTTTGCACTCTTTCTGTTGGTTCAGACAACATGTAATATTAATGAAAAAAAAAAAAGTTGAATTCCCTTTGGTTTAAGAGGTGAGCGTTCGTGTGAAGTGTTTTCCGATGTCTTGTTTTTATCGATTTGTGAAGTGGAGAAAAAGCGAACTGGTCTCTCTCGTCTCATTTCAAGAAGGTCCCGGGTTTGACTCCCAGGAACCTGATAGATTGCTTCTAATAGTTTTCTACTCTGGTGATGATGAAGAGCTGCTAAAATACATATATGTCGTTTCTCACTTTTTCCCTCTGGGTTTTCTAGTTGTTCGTTGTCGATGCAAGAGGGTTTAATGACAGTGGTGTTGATCTGGGACATTTATGGACATTTAAGGACATTGGTCATCCGTCGCTATGGACCAATGCTATCGGAGTCATTGGTCCATAGGGGGCCATTGTTTGTCATTATTGCATTTCCCGTGTTCGAACTTTTTGATTCTCTGACCTATTGTTGGTGAATCAACACATTTTAAAGTCCTCCGAGACAATTGCTGTTGGGATTTAGGGCTATACAAATACGAATTGAAATGAAATTATGATGAATTATAAATGTCCTTACAAATCATGTCTTTGTACATTGTGCTCTCCCTGTCCTCTCCTTCATTATATGCTTCAACCATTCCTGCTTTCTGATCCATTACAGGCTGTGTATTGCAATATTGTTTTTCACATTGCTTTACTTATTGATGAAAATATGATACAAAAAAGTCCCCTTGTTTAGCACTTTGTCCTGTCCTTGGTACTTTGGGCTTCAGTGCGGACTACACCCATGGTCAGTTTGCCATCCAGTTTCTCTTGTTTTTGCTTCCCATTCTGTTGCTTGTTTTGTCAGCACACTTCAACCTTTTCTTCTCTCCTTGGCTGCTGCTGTGCTGGTGGTGTAGGTTTCCCTGGGGACTGCATCAGGCTCCTCTGGCTCCACCGGACGCCGCAGTGTGCCACATTGTCAGTGATAGATTTCTCTGGCAGTGGGTCAGCGCATACATTCTCCCCGGCCTCTTCTCTCTGAGGAGTGCTACGCCGTAATGAATGCTGCTGAAAAGGAAACTGGCTGAGAGTGACAGGGAAGAATGATGCATTGGACCATTGAAGCCGGGCACAGCGGAAGGTGTCCGCGAAGATGCCCAGAGGGACCTGTGTGCACCGTGACAGCAGAGCCATAGGAGATCAATACAGAGGTTAGCATTCTTCCAAAAAGCATCATGGACTTTTAGTGGCCAGTTGAGTTGATAAAATAGGATCTCAGCCCAATTATGGCATAAAACTACTAACAATTTATCTAAACGGCTTTTTTATGCCAGTAGGTTGCGTTAATGTAAGTAAGTAAGTAAGTTTTTATTTATATACCGCCTTTTCACTGCAGATCTGAGTCTCAAAGCGGTTTACAATTGTTAATTATGGGCATTTGTCTCTCACTCCACACAGAGATGGGAGCGGGGTCGCCAGTACAGGAGGCACATGCCAGAACTATTGGACATATTTTTAGTGGTAGGGGAAACCGGAGTACCCGGAGGAAACCTACGCAGACACGGGGAGAACATGCAAACTCCACTCAGAAAGGCCCTGGTCCGACCGGGATTCGAACCCAGGACCTTCTTGCTGAGAGGCGAGAGTGCTATCCACTCAGCCACCGTGCCGCCCACGTGATGTGACATCATAACAGTAAAAATGTATAGTTAAATTAATAAATCAAATAAATTGTGGGGGAGGGCAGTTTAAAAGTAGTTAGTTTATATAGCTATTATTTTCTCCAATTCTTGGGACAATCCACAAGAATCAAACACTGTCACAAAGTTCTACATCTTCTTTGTCAGTACTAGGACATATCAAAAAAAATTATATTATTATTATATAAAGATGTTTAGAGGTGGTGTTCAAAGAATTTTGTTGGCCAAGAACATAAAAAATGGTTTCTATCTTTTATATTCAACAACTCCAGAATAGCTTTTGCTTTTCACAAACGGACACTACTCCAGATTGTCGTGGTAATGCTCTACTTCCCATGTGTCCTGCTTTCTGTCAAATGCAGCCTGGTCCCTGTAGGCAGAGCTAATGGCTGACACAGATTTATTAGATAGCATGTTTTCTTTTGGTTACTGCCTAGCTGTAGATAAAGAAGTGAAGCGGGAGGCAGCCTGCATGTTTTTTCTGAGGATGTCCGAGTGGAGCATCATGGCTGTAGGTGTAAAGCCACACCTAAAGTTTCGTCCTAAAGATTATCCAGTGCCAAGAATGCCGTGTTTTACTTGGCTCTGAGAAGCACAACGACAATAGGATGACTTGGCACAGCAGGGGAGGGTGATGCATTGGAATGAACTTGAAGATGCAGCATTGACTGTATTGTCTTCATTTAAACCTTATACCGTGTATTAGGAGTAAACTGACAGAGAGTTGGCATCCCCCTTATTGAAGCCAATTTGAACATGAGCCAATTTCCTTATATGGGCATTTGTTCTGATGATATTAGCTTTGCGCTGCAACCTGGGCAGACGTGGTTGCAAAAGGGAAGCTGGAGTTTCACCTTGTGAATGAAGGCATCTGATAACTTGGTCACTGTGGTTCATCAACTGGATTTACTAAGACAGTAACAAAAAATAAACACCAGGATTACAAAGAGATTCATAACCACAAATGTCTTAAGTCTCAAATGGTGATGTAAGTCAAAAGGAGCCAGAGTGAGTTGAAGCAAAACTCCCATATTGGGCTTCATTGAGCTAGGGTTTTTTGTTGAATTCCTGGAAGAAATGCTTTAGGCCCCGTTTATACAGAGACAATGCGGCAGTAAAACGCTATAGTTGGATGACGGTTGCTACCCCCCGTTCACACGGGGACTGTGGTCCAGGGGGGTGAAAACGTATGTGTTCAGATCCAGAGTATGTATAACATGCCACAGTAGCCCATGTCTTAGTATCAATGATTGAAAATGATATCAAGTACTATCCATCATACCATCACGTACCTGTAGGGGTCTGCAAACCCCCTGATGGGAAACACTGATTATAGAAAAGTCAAAGTAAAATTATGTAAAAAATAGAACAGGCAGTTCATTGCCATTTCAGGGTAAGTTGAGCTAATTTGAGGTAGAATCTTTGCAGCTATTGACAACAATATCGTCCCTATCGTCTGGCGTGCCCTTGCACCTCATCACTGCACAAATATCATCAGAAACCTCAAACAACTTAATCAAGCAACAGTTTTCCCTCCTCAAAGTGCTCGAATTAGGAAAAATGAAATTAGCGTCCTTGGTCTGTTAGCCTTGATTGAAAATCCACATCTGATTAGCATTCCTTTTTGTTCTCCAAAGATACAATTAGTGAGGATGCACGTTTGGATCCTGAGAGTCCGTGACCGAGGAACAGAGCAGAATCACTAAAGAGCCCTGCGTTCCCCACCGGAGTGAGGAGGCTTCCTTAGACACTTGTCTGACATTCACCAACACCGCTTCCACTCCGAGATGAAATTTTAATTAGAATGCAATTAGGAAAGACTCTCGCAGCTTTATCTAGCCATGGCGCTGAAAGAAGAAAAAGCCATTCATTGTTTAATTTCACAAAATGGAGTACTCAAGCGTGCAGCTGTTTAAAAAAGCATTACATTTGTTTCATTTGAGGTGTCTGTTCAATTGTGGAAAAATCATTTCCGTGGAAATGGCAGTTTTTATGGCGGGTCAGAGGCATGGTTTAACCTCTTCCTGTTATGAATGACTCCATTGCACTCGCTCTCCTAACGGCATATGCTGTTAGGTGGCTTAATTGTATGTGTTAAGAGAAAAGAAGTGATGGTTGTCTTGGTTACTAGTCGGACCATAGCAACAAACGTTGTTGAGGTAATGCGTGCGATTTTATGAAGCGTCGTCATTTCCAACAAATGCCTCAGAGCACTTATAGGCCCCTGTTATTGTTGGAACCTCAGCTTTATGGGGAATAACATATTAGTGCCCTTAACACGCAATCAAAGTGAGGCCTGCCATTATTGTATGGTACCGTATACGTATATGTTTACAGGAATATCCAGACTGTCAGATCAAGCTTTAACCACACTAATGCTCTAATGCTTGAGTGATTAAGTACTTTCAGTCTAAACACGAGTAGTAATCTTTTAAATATCCTATGCTTACTTCTGTCACGAATAATGTACCAGCTTTTCTTCCCACGGCGTTGCATTGGTCAGCTTGATTACAGATTCTGATAACACAATGATTTCTAATGAATTTGGTCTTACCTTCTATTATATTATATTTATTCCCAGTACAACCCCTTTATCTGTCTGACCTAACAAACTCTTAAACTGGTTTAGAATGTGCCCTTGCACCTTTTGGACCAATTATCAGTTTCCATACCAGTTATTGTAGAACTTAGTTTTTAGTTTAGACAGTGTTCACTAAGGAACTCAGAGACCATGTATATATCCATGTACTGGATCCCAAAATGTATAGTTTTCCTAACCTCCCTCCCAATTTTATGTATTCCACTTCCAACTTATTATTCATGTAAAGTGAAGATGAAAATGAACAATATCATAATTCCCAGACAAGAGTTGGCTTGTTAAAATGAGCTTTATTCCCACACAGTTCATTCATTAATAAAAGTGAGCAGTCTTCCGGCTTCCTGTTCTCTATAATTGTGTAATACAACCAGAAACAAAGATGACCCGGGGTCAGTGATGACCAATTGGTAATTAGACTGTGCATAGTGACAGGAAGACATGAGGGCTCAGGGGTCAGCCACTGTATGTGTGTGTGTGCGTGTGTGCATGTGTGTGTGTGTGCGCACGTGTGCGCGTGTATGTGTGTGCATATCATTAGTGTATATGACAGAAGGCCGGTGTTCAGCTGATGGGAGCGTCAGGGGCTGATTGCCGTGTGACAGAGCATATGATTAGAGTATTGACAGTGTGAGTAATGGAAGCAGGTGGGGCTCACACGTCACACCTTCAGCTCTGTTGTGTTTACACCTGCTGATGCTAAGGCTGGCCCTGCCCCCTGGGACTGCCTGCGACCGCTGCAACTGACACCATGTTATTTCTGCTTCATCTACTGTTGCCTGTTGTTTATGTAGATTTTAGAGAGTCTCCTCCCATGGTCACTTTGCTCATCATTGTTATCACGCACAGTGGAGAGCTCATTTACACCTTCTAAATGGACGTAAAGACCTTGGAGACATTGCAGGAGTTTCCAAAGTCCTTGTGCACTGCAGTGGTGGCACGCAGGATGCATGGGGCAAGGCACACAGCTGTTTGGAGGAATGCTGCCCTGGAGGGGTCTGAGGGGACGTGCTTTTATGGGCGTCCTGCTCGCAGCTGCTGCCCAGGTGAACGTGCGCAGTAATGACTGTGATTGTACGTGAGGCATCCTCTGGTAATTGTAGCGGCCTCTCTGCTGCTGCCGCCTCGCCTTTGTGCCCTTCATCCCCAGGCTATTCGCAGTCACCATAGAAACAAGTCATTAGCTTGTGGAAGTAAAATGTCACTGATTTTTCTTTCAAAAGTACAGATTGGAAATCAGGAAGTTGAAACATGCCTCTCAAAAGCACTGGACTGTAATTTTGTCCACGGGAGAGATGAGAGGCTCTTCAATGTGGGACCTGTGGAAAGTAAAATCGCTGTTGCTGCTTGTTAACACATATCTTCAAATATGGTTGGGTTGGGCTTCCGTCAGTGCAGATTTATAAATAGGACCACACAATGCAGCTGTGTTTGAGGCATTTAAAACAGGAGTAAGGAGATGCTTGTATTCTGTACCCTTTTACTAGCTGTCCCTGGACATTTGTTTCAGAGTTGGAAACTTATAATTAACACTTCTCCTCATGTTTAACCAAAGTTCAATAATCTTTTGTTGTACTGAAATTAGAGAACTGGAAAATGTTGTGTAGAAAAAAACAAAGTCCAACACTTTTAATATCTTTCTTTAACAAAACAAATAGAGCAAAAGATCTATGTAGCTTCTAATATTGTTTTTCCACCCTATACAAATCATTTTACTGAGATTTGATATACTTAATCCCAACATCATCACTTCCAATGGCCTTTGTCCGTGGGGGTCAGTCATGCAAAGCAGTCACTGCCCTCTGACAGCAGGGGTCTGTGTCTCTCACAAATGGCATGGGAGGATTAGGAGGAGGGTCTGTGCTCCGTGGGACACTGAGATAAGCATCCAGAGGAGA